ACATGAGTGTCTTCATACTGGCTCTGCCTAAGACCGACTTGCTGCTGAGGGTGTAATGGGGAAACCTTGGAGAGGTCAAGCTTATCTGAATTTCACATAAACAATGAATAATTTTTTTAGGTCTAGGTATATTCAAATATTGCATGACAGCCCTATTTATTAATGAAGTTTCAGAAGTTCTATGAATCCCTTAACATTACATAAACATTTGGTATGCAGATGCATTTTGAAGAGGAAGGAGAGTGGGTATCAAACCTTTGCCTCTAAGGGGAAATATGTATTATCCTTTTATATTGCAGGATGTGATGGTGCTCTTGGTAAAATCTTAGGACCCTATGCTTAAGTCCCTAGCCTCCAAGTTACTAGTTGAGCTATTTGGCAACCCACATCATCATCACTCCTTTTCTCTGTTCCTACCTCTGATGGCTGAGAAAACTGAAGGTGATTTGTTTGGTCTGTAACCAAAGGCCTTTAAAGAGAGATATTAATGCTAATTAATTTAAAAAACCCACAGGCATTGTGGCAATAGTTTGTACAGCAAGCTGGGATGAATGTCTTTCTGGCAAGACTTCCAAGGCAAGTTGATTCACCCAGAAGACAGGAGATGTTAGGCCTCAAGGCATGACAGAAGCAAAAACTGGTGAAGCAAAGCATACAGGAAACTTGGGTAGTAAGTTTAAATCCTCTTAAAATGTCTAGAAAATGCATTCTAACACAGAGTCCTACAATTCAGCAAGCCTCAGGAAAAGTCTAGAGCTTTCTTGCCTTGATCTGGAAGTCCCTATTACATAAGAACCTGGAAGAAAAAAGGAAAGATCAGCTTAGTAAGTTGAGTCTGAAGAACAGCAACCCCATTTGAATGGGACATCCCACAATGACACACTGGCTTTCAGAAGAGGAACAGAAGGAGATCTGCAGCCATGCCTATGGGTCTGTGTTCTTAGGTAGACTGGCTTGATCCAGAGGAAGGAAGGAAGGAAGAAGGAAGAAATGAGAAGGTGAACAGTAGAAAATTTTAGAAATAAATGATCAAAGACAGCTTTTGCTAGCACTACACTATATCCCTTCAGGCAATTGAATGGAATGCAGCTGACAAGCCAGTGACATTCTCCAGTTTCATTCTCCAATGAAGTAAGTGTTCTAGAATGCAAGTGGCTGAGCACTAGGACATGCATGAACAATAATGGGGGAGACCTAGTTGATACTTGGTCTTCAAGTAATTGGAATACTTTAAAAAGGAGGCAGAGGAAAGAATGCCCAAGAAATGCACAAATACTAAAAACTAACTATAAAAGACTCCTATTTCAAAGGGAAAATGGAATACAATGAACATGTTTTCTACCTAAAAATCATGACCACTAAGCAGTGGATATAATTTTATATAATCCTGTTGCTACCAGTATTCACTAATTGTGTTTTTAATTTGTGTCTGATCTACTTCAACAGCTTATAGTATAAACACAAGACCAGATGAAGCAGACAATTCCCAAAAGGAAAAAAACTATTTAGGAGAGAGACACTTTATCTGAGGACCATGGAAGGAGTTTTGTTTTGTTTTGTTTTTAACAGGGTTGACAGATAAAATATAGGTGGTATTTTTAGTCTAGGGATGCCCCAATATTTCATGGCAACCCCATTTATTAGTACATTTCAGAAGATCCATAAGCTCCTGGATATTCTATAAATATTTGGCGCAGATATGCATTTTAAAAAAGGAAACTGGCTACAGCTTTCCACCAGAATCTTAAATCTGTCATCTCTCAACAGTTCAACATCATTAATGCAAAGAGATAATTCTATCATGTCTGCCCTTTCCCTGTGGCCTTGAGCTTCCCAGCAGCCAAAACTAAAGGGAATTTACAAAAGCAATTTACCAAATAGCAGCTGAAGAGAAGAGGCCCAAGTGGAAGAAAGACTGATCTGGTCAGAAGATAGTGAGTCAGCTGGCTCACAAGCCCCTTCCAGCCTATGTAGAAATCTGAGACTAGAGCTCTCAGTGGGTATTAACTTTTTAAAGGATCAGGTATGCATTACAAAAGATTTTGGGCTGCCTGGCAGGATTGAACTGGAGAAGGGCAGGATGGTGACCCAGGTGGGCTAGGGGAAGGTGGCTGGAAGGAAGTGAGCTGATAGTTGTGTAGAAGGTGACATGGAGGCAGGGAGGAAGAGGAAACCCAGAGGTAGGAATCCCTGCCTCAAGGGTCAGGGTTTTTTCTGCTCAGGCTTTTATATCTTTTGAATTCCTCTGCACCTATTTTTATGTGTCCCCATCCTGGGCAGGGAGTCTCCTTCCAAGGCCCCATGGAAGCTGTGAGTGATGATGAAGGCACAGTCTTTACCTGCAAAGTCACTGAAAGTAGACCCTTAGTGCTGCAGCTTCTGATGCCATTTCCTCCTCAGATCTCCACAAGGTTGGGGAGTCCTCTTCCTCTTTGTCATGTTTCTGGAGCTTTGGAGAAAACAATGGAATAGGCTTATTAATAATGGGTCCTTGGGATCTTTGAACAAGTGTTGTGCGGATGGCTAAACAGAATTTGCAAATCAGAGGCTGAAAGGTGTATGTCCTTTAATTGTATTGGTTGCCAAAATTTGAAAATGGGGAGGTGTCATGTAACTGTCCACATTTCCAGCTTTGGTGATAACATAACCAGATCAGGCTATGCTGTGGCCTGTTCGATGCCTTGTCTTGTCTGCTGGAGGCTGTAAGTGGGAGGTCACAGACTGGGGAGCTTCCTCCCATTTACAGTAATCCCCAGTACTCTCTGTATCTTATGCTTGGCTGGCATCATTCATGTATTTTACTCACCATTCAATGAAGAAACTGTTTTACACCTACCCATGATCATTCTCCTAAAGTGGCCTATGGCTTCCCTACTATTCTCTTTGGCTTAGTCTCTCTTATGAGCTCGGAGCAGTTTTGTTCAGTGAAGCAAAATAGCCCAAGCAAATCTATGATAACAGTACAAGAGCCATGAGTACTGAGTAAGAAATAAGAGCATATCCATTAAAAGAGGCTTTAGCAGGCAAACAGTTAAAAAAAATTAGAAAACATCAAGAAATTAACAATCGATCTAAGTCAATTAAATCATTTAAAAATCCTCTTCAAACACGCATATTTATTTTTAAAAACATCTTGTATATGTCTCAGATTTGCATATAGAGTAAATAAAATTTCCATTCTACCAGAGAGAGGATGTTCTCAGAGCTCTTCATTAGAAGAGCTCAATTTTCCCCCTTAATCTCCTATTGCAGTTCAGTTTTATTAACTAAATTTGTTATTCCTGTGTGTGGCTTTATCCATTGTAAAATGCTGAAGGTATAAATTCACAGGATGTGCAGTGTAGTATTTTGTAAGTCGTTTGAAGAGATTGAGGTAAATGTTTTAACAGTACCAATGATGGCCAGTATTTATGATATGAACCGGTAGTTTCTTTGATGTATATTATTTCATCCTGCACCATTTCATTTAATCTGTACCATAATCCCTACACAAGGCAGGCACCGCCTAGCTCCATCTTTACCAAGGAAGAAATTGAGCTCTGAGGAAGTTCATTTGCTTGTCAAAGATCAGCCAGCTAGGCAGTGGCTGAGTTATTCCCAACAATGTTTGCCTTTTTATCTATCCTAGAGGAGCTGCCTGCCACCTGAGTGGCGAGTTCCACCCACCAGGCGCAGTCCCCTCCCCAGCCAAAAGGCAGTCCTTTGAAAAGCATCTTGCTGCCTCAGCAAAAAGTCTCTCCACTAACATAGTGGAGTTTGCTATCTTGGGCCAAAATCACTGTAAATCTAACCCAGAGAGACCCCATTCCCCCCAACGTGGCCCCTTGGAGCAGATGGAGAAATTTCCCCAGTATTTCTGAGCAAACTTTGACACACAAAGCAAACCAGTGAAGGAATGATACCCAGGCTCTCCAGCTGAGCTATATTTCCACTTGGGGTAAGTTTCAGTCTAAATGAGGTTCATTAGCATATAACTGGGCCACAAATATGTTGATGAGGGTCATGGATCTTCTGTTCAGAATTTGGCTGCCAGCACTCTGGTTTTACATTTTGCCACATAGATTTAATTCTCCTTAGTGGAAGAAAACCACATTAAGAAGTCATTTCCCTCCTCGCAGAGGCAGATAGAACACCATCGCTACAGGCGAGTCAAACAGGATTGCTATTTTTCTACTCAAGAACTAATTTTCATTTTGATACTAGCTTTAGGTCTGTTATAAATCCATCTTGTAACAATTCAATAGGATGACAAAGAACAATATATACAGCCCAGAAAATATGGCCTTCCACTTCTGGTGCTGCCATTGAAAAGACACAGAAACCCAGCATTAAGTGGCTTCATCACCACAGATCATACCAGATGAATCCAAATAATTTAGAGCCTGTGAACGTTAATGCCTCCCTGGTTATTAGGAGACCGTCTGTTATTGTCATATGCCTTACAGATGGCAACGTTGTGCCCACACTTCGAAGTTGTTTATGTGAGGTAGAGAAATAAATAAAACAAAAACTAATCATATTTGCAAAGCTCTGCTGTATATGGTTTTTAAAACTTAGAGGTTTCCCTCCTAAAAGCCCCAGATGGAAAAATGTGGCTTTCTTTAGAACAGTAGTGCTGGCTGCCCACTGGATTCACCTGGGGAACTTTAAAAAACACTATTGCCTGGGTCCACCCAGGGATTCTGATTTAATTTGTTTGGGGACAGCCTGGGTTTGGGGACTTTTTCAAAGTTCTCAGTTAATTCTGAGGTGCACTTACTCCTTGAGAAGCAAGGCATTTGGGAGAAATGTGTATGTGTATAGATAGAGCCCAAGCACATAGAGAAATAATACATTTCCCTTTAAGACCATTGCTTGTCACCCTGTCAATAGAAGAGAGGCTGTTGTTTGCAAACCCTGTTTTACAACTGCTTTTCTTCTCTACAGAAATAGGGAGTCCAGGAATGATCCTGATGAGCAAGACCTACGTCTTCAAAGAGGCACCCAGGTGACTTAGAAATTAAACGTGGTGTAGTTTGGGGTACATTTCTTCCTTCCTGAGGCAACCCAGGAACCTGGCTGCTGCAAGCCATTGCAGGCTGGCAGAGGTAAGCTCTAGTGACCTCAAACAGTGGTTTATGCAGAAGGCACTACATGCCAGAAGGAAGCTTTATTGGGGGAGGGGAGAACTTCAAATGAACCTTCCAGATTAATTTAGGCTGTCCACAGGGAAAGGCACTGACTGCTTACTCATGCACATGGTATTTATTCTGTCCCCACAATGCTAAGGGCTGGCCCTGGCACTAGAACACTGAAACAGACCCATTTATTGTCATTATGGGATACTCAGAATAGGCACCAAATGGTTAATTATAAATGGTGGGGGGGTGGGGTGGGATTTACAAATGGAACAGACCCTTTTGCTGCCCATATGAAGGGTACCCAGGTAGGGAGAATAGGCGCCAAATGATTTGTTACAAATAAGGAGGAGGCATTTCCAAATGGGAGGGCTGCTGCTGGGAGGGCCTGACCTGCTTTGAAAGGCTTTTGAGTTTCAGCTTGGTAAAGAAACAGAGTGCTATGATACAGAGTGACGGGGGAGAAGGGCTTATCTAAGGAACATCTAGCAACATCTCTCCAAGAAGATAAGGTTAGGCTCAGACTTTGACAATGAGAGGGCAAGCTCCTTAACCTCTTTGTGCCTAAGTTTCCCCCCACTGTAAAAAGGGAGCAGTAAGAGTTTTGAGTAGATGTACTTGGCACTTAGTAGTAATAAGTGGTACTTAGTGTTTGCTGCTGCTATTATTACTACTATCAGGCTGGATACACCATCCCCATCACAGTGGGGACATAGAGGTTTTGTCCAGGAGTAAACTTGCCTTTCCTGTCTTCATGGTTCCCCAATGACGTGTGTCTTTTTGGACCTTAAATACACTAAAAGGATTAAGAGCTATGGTCAGAATTCGTATGGCCCAAACCAATGACTCTAGTGAGGCACTGAAGTCTGAGGAGAAAATTTAGCTCCTGCAGCTTTAAAATGACCTATAATACTCCCTAACTCTCCAGGTTGTTAAGAGTAAAAAAGGTATCAATGGAGGCTCCTCACAGGTCAAGGTCAAGGTCTTAGAATAAAAGCATGTGGTAATGATCAAATGCAGTCAAAATTACCCTGAAATCAGGGCTGCCAGAGTTAGCAAATAAAAATACTAAATCAAATTAACTGAGTGTCCTGTACATCTCATGTGATATTTGGGACATATTCTTACTAAAAAGTATTACTTATTTATCTAAAATTCAAACTTAACTGGGCTTCTCCTTTTATTTTATCTGGTAACTCAGCCTGGGGGACCCCCTTTGAAAAAGAAAAACCTAAACACTGAAAGTGCTTGGCTCACATTTGGGTTGTTCCCACACCTGCCTTGCTATGAATCCAGGAAAAGACACAGGCTGTCCAAAGGAAGACCAAAATCAAAGCTAGCATTTTGTTCACTCTAAGGCTTAGTATTGGATGAAATGAAGAGTACTCTTTAAACCCCACAGCTCAGTGGTTCTCAGGTGCACACTTTTCCACATTTTCACATCTCTGAAATCAAAGTGTGCTCCACAATCGACGATGTGTCATAATTTAATTGGCAGTGTTTTTCTTTGTTAGTCGTACATGAAGGAACGGTACTTCTTCCTGTTGACTGCGTCTGGGGTTCAATGCACTACAGTGCTCCGTCTTTCCTCCTGGTAATCATATCACACAAGTTAAATGGCCATGACAGTGCTCAACACCACAGCACATTCCTTACCTCCTCTCTAGGCAACAGTGAAACTGTTGAACAGTTGACACTGTTTTCACAGGCACTTGGTTCTTTAGGGGAAAGTGCTCACCAGAGTTAGAAAGTTTGCAAAAAAATTTGAGCCAAAAAATCTTTATTCACTCAACAGAGTGAAGTCTGTGATGGCTCTTGGAAGAGCATTCTATTTCCATATAAGTTTGAAAAGAGATTAAAAAAAATGTATCTGCAGTCATTTCACTTTATCTGCCTGAAATGATTTTGGAGAAGGTAGTGTTAACAGGATTTCTGACTGAAGTAGTGATAGGTGTCAATTTTGACATATTGCTCCTTCCTGGGCATTGAGCATGCTATCACAAGGTATGTGAGGTAAAGATCAATTCCCTGATGTAATGCTCAAACTGCCTTGGCTATTGACTTTTTTATAGCTCTGTAATGGAATACAGTAGGAAGAATGATTCACAATAATTTAAATGTTTTTCAGGATTTGGAACTAACCTGTAATAAAATGCCAAGTTGTCTTCAAAGGCTGGGGAAGGTGGGGGGAAACGATTTAATACCACTTCTTAAAGAAGCAAGTGCTGAATATAAACCTGAGTGTTGTTATAGAGTACGTTAATATATTTCATTGTTATTTTCTAAAACAACATAAAAAGCAGGAAGCTTAAACTATTTCTTATGGGTTGATGGTTCTATTCAGACAGGTGTTTATATAGTCTTGAAAAGGAAATAATATCAACGAACACGGAAGTAAATCCATAATTTTCTTTTAGAACTAATTCTCTGCCTCTATTTTCAATATAGCCAACAAGCCTTTGTTGAGCACATGATATATTCCAGGCACTGTTCTAGGCATTATGGGAGCTGTCAAATGTATAAGCCACAATCTGTGCCTCCCGGGGTCTTACCACCTCAAAGGGCAGACAGATTTATACATATGTAATATAAGTCAGTCTGGTATAAGAACTGGGCTAGAAGTTCCATCACTGTTCTCAGAATATCTGAGGAAGAGAGTAATTCTTGCCAGGTGGGGCCTTTGGTTGACTTAAAAAATCAGGATTTCCACTGGGCTTAAAGCATGTGATTTCTGGGCAGTGGGAATGGCTTTAGCAAACACATGAGGTGCATGCCAGCTCTACTGCAACTCATGCCATGGCTAGCTTCCTCAACTGCTGGCACCCCTCTTTCCTGAGGAGTTCTGACTTAGCTTTCCTCATAAGCCTGACCTTCTCTCAGAGTGGTCAGAGAACTGAAATTTAGTTGCCATTTTGAGAAGCCTTAACATTCCATTGTTTAAAGATGGGGAAGACATGGGGTGCCTGGGTGGCTCAGTCAGTTGAGCATCTGACTTTGGCTCAGGTCATGATCTCATAGTTCATGGGTTCGAGACCTGCATCGGGCTTTGCACTGACGGTGTGGAGACTGCTTCAGATTCTCTATCTCCCGCTCTCTATGCCCCTCCCCGCCACTATCTCTCAAAAATAAATAAACATTAAAAAACAAAGATGGGAAAGATATCTCATTGGCCCAGAAGATGGCCTCCAGTCTATGATTCAAAGCCACAAACAGCTTTGAATCCTGCTAAGAAAAAGTTACTCCATTTTCAATCTGATTAATCAAAAGTCTTAGTACTAGCATGTCCTTACTATGGTACCAGCATGACCTCTAACAGAAAGAGAGGAGCCATCCAGACTCTAGCTAGAATGTAATAAGATTGTTTTGTTTACATCATATTGATTTTGAGGGTTATCTCCCATTTATGATGTCATCTCAAATTTCCTTTTAAACTAAATTTATTTAAGGTAAAGAGTCAAGTGAGAAAATAGATGAAGTAAAACAATGTCAGAAATAGAGGATTAAGCACAGCATTAACCTTGAAAGATGGTCCAGAGGTGGGAAGTATAGCTGAGGTGAGCAAAGTCACTGCAAGTATGAGGCTACAGCATGGGCCTTCTAGGATGTGGATGTAGTTGTTTCTATTGGGCTGAATCAAAGGAGGCTTCAGAATTTTTTTTTTCTTTTTGGACAGACATTGAAAGTCAAAATAGTTTAAAATGATAAGAGCTCTGAAGAGCAACCAATGCATTGTGATGTGTGGGGATGGTAGAATGGTGGGGGAGGGGTTGTGGGGGGAAAGGCCTCACTGAAGAAATGATGGAGAAGCTGAGATGCTAACAGTTTCTAGAAAGCCATGAATCGAGAGCAGGGAAAAAGGGTATTTCATGCAGAGGGAACGGAAGTGCACAGCGAGGGAAAAGGGATCTTGGTTGAGTCACTGACTAGAAAAGTAAGGGACATGGCAGATAATTTGCAGCCTGTGGGGATGGCTGAGAAATGGGAATTTTATTTTTGGTGCAAAAGAAGACATTAAAGGGTGGGAAGTGGGGAAATTAAAAGCTTAGAATAATTTTTCATTGAGTGGCCTGGCTGGAGAATGAATTAGAGACCGCTACTGCAGCAGCTGGACCAGAAATCATGGGAGCTGGGCAGGCATAGACTGGACCAGAAGGGGGCCCATCAGGCTGGAGGCAAACTCAGCTGCCCCATAATCCAGTGTGCTGGTGACTTAGCTACAGTGTGTGCAGTTAGTGAGAGGATCTCCATGCCTCCCTTCAGGCAGATATTTCTTTGACAACTTCCTGCCAGGCACTTTATGTAAAGCACGCTTGGATGCTGGCTCCCCTGCTCAAGGCTGCTCTGAACCAGTATGAAAATCACTCCTGTACTGCCCAGTATGTGACTCTCTTCAGTTACCTGCTTCCCAAACTCCCTAAGATTTCCTGGACCATTTAGATTGACTTGAGTGATATTTCATAATTCTGGATGTTGTCTCTGTCACATACACACAGCCAGCATCCTTTGAGCACAAGTTTCCTCCCCAAACACTAAATACCGTTACTCTCGGTGCTGGTTATTGAGCAGTTAGTCACCCACTTTGGCCTCTCTTGGTGTCCTAATGTATCGCCTCTTGCTTTCATTTGATGCAAAATAATGTCTGTACTGCCAACCATTGGTAGCTACTTCTTTCATAGAACCCTGAGGTTCTGTAAATATTTCTTTGTGCAAAAATATGTTACTTGCCTCCCCCCACCCTTTTCTTTTTTTTTTTTTTTTGAGAGAGAGCTAACGCACACAGAGTGGTGGGAGTAGAGAGAGAGGGAGAGAGGGTCTTAAGCAGTCTCCACCATGCTTAGCATAGAGCACGACAAGGGGCTTGATCCCACCACCCTAAAATCAGACCTGAGATGAAATCAAGAGTTGACATGTAACCCTTTGAGCCACTCAGGCACTGCAACTGCCTCCCTTCTGAATCTCTGTGTGAGCTG